AATTTATTTAAATATTATGTCTTTTTCTCCAAACAATAACTCTTATTAAAGAATTCTATCTTTATATTTGTTTTATTCTCTTGTTTTAGACTATCCTTAAACTTATTATAATTTTTCTTAAAATATTATTCCGATTTATTTTTTTCATTAATTAATGAAGTAAAAAATTATCTTAAAAATTTTTTTTGATTTTTTACCTTTAGATAACAACTCTGTTTGTTAAAACAGATTGAATGACATCTTTTTAATAAGTAAAGTTCTTCAATTGTTTTTAATTAGTTATGTGTAAAGATTTTAAAAAATAACAAAAAACAGTTATTTTTAAAAAGAGTATTTTACAAATTCGAACTTAAATAATATCTTACTTAACTAGCTTATGAACGTTATGCAATTTACCAAAATTATTAATTAATTAATATATAAATTAAGAAGTTCAATTACATCATTTGTTAGAAAAAGAAACAGATGTAAATATGACGTAATCTCAATTTAATCTCATCGTAAATGCAACTGTCCCTATAAAAATTATTTATAAAATATTTATATTTGTCTTAAATTCACAGTTAATTGTTCGTAAGTTATTTAATTAAATCTTTAATAAACATTAAGTTAAATAGCTTTTGTTACCAAAATATAATTTTGATTTATTGATATTAAAATTATTGTAAATTTATAATTTATTATTAATAAAAATGTTGATTCTTATTAATTTCAAAAGACAAATAGATATTCAAATGTTTAATATATAATCCTACTAAAACTTTAAGAATATGAAAAATAAAAATAAATGAGTAACAAGTTAAGTTAAATAAAATAAAATTATTTTAATTTGTTATTTTAAAAAAAGACTTTTTTTAATTCGAACTTCCAAAATTAATTTATTGAAATAAAGTACATACCCGTTTTACAATTTTATAAAAATTTTATATTGTTTATATATAAAAAGCAACATCAATAAAATATGTTTTACGTTTAACAAAAGAGTTCTGCGTAGGCCAGTATTAAGTAATCAAGTTTAAATACTGACTAACTGAAGAACAATTAATTAATTTATAACATATTTATTTTAATATTATATCTATTTAAATGATGTTTTTAAAATTGATTAATATCATTTGATTAAGAATGTGTTATTTCTTATGAATAAAGATTGTTAAATTTTTGATAGTTATAATGTATAAAATATATTAAAATAACAAATAATCTAAATTAAAATAACAAATATATGATCAATAATTTTTTCATCAATATAATTTATTTAAATATTGTGTTAATTATAAATTATAACATATTTAGACATTGTTTTGATTAGCGCCCATAAATTATTAAAACAAAAAATATTTTAATAGTTTATTTTAATAACAACCTCTACCCTAAGGGATAGGGGTAGGGATTGTTGATAAAATAAAAAAGTCAATACAATTTATTAAAAATTATTCCCTCTGAACTTCATAAATTCTTTAAACTCTGATCCTTTATGTCGATAGAAAAGGTAAAAGAAAGCTTAAATGAGTTTGAAAAAATAAAAACATCTCATATTTTTTTCTTCATTTTGAGCTTTGAATGACTACATATACATTCAATCAACTAAATATTACATTTAGTTATTAGATATATAAAATTCTCGCTATAGTTTACCACATTGTGGCCATAAAAATAAGAGTTAAGACCATGGTATGCTTTCCATTCATCTGAGACAATGAGACTTTGAGTGTCCATATATTCAAATTGATAAAAAAATTTATTTAATAAAATATTACATGGAGATAATCAATTTTAGCTATTAGTTTTGTGTATAGGCGCCAATCAAAAGAATGCTTATATTAATTAGATTAAATTATATTAATAATTAAGTCAAATATTTTTTTTTCAAATGTATAAATTTTTATAATTTAAATTTTAAAAATTATAGTTTCTAATTATTTTACAGTAATTAAAAATCAAAAAGACACTAAATTAAAATTTTGTTTAAAAAAATATTTTGATAAAATTTTGGTATTGTTTTGATTACGCCACAAAATCAATTAAGCATCATATTCAACTTAATACACGATATTATATGTATTGATATAATATTTTTCAAAGTTTTAAAATATTATTTAATACCTGCATAATTTAAGGGTATAATTTATTAAATAAAAACATAATAAAGAAATTTATTAATAATTTTTTTTAATTATTTTTAAGATTCCTCAAACAATTCTTTTCTGTATACAGTGGCAGACAAAAAAACGCAACTGATAAAAAGTGACATAGAAAATGTTACTTAAGAATTAATTTTCTTTTATATATCAGTAATGTGGTTATATAAATAAATATTTGTATTTCAAAGAAAACTGTTTATATAGGTTAATAAACAATAAAAATTTTGGATCAAGTCTGAAATTTTCCCACAGGGGGAAAATTTCAGACTTAAAAAATTCATAGAAAATAAATAAAAAAACCATGTAAATAAAATATATAATTT